TTTACGAAATATCTCATATTATCCTAATTAATATTTTCATACTTGTTTTATATTACAAATCAAATATCAAGTAGGTATACACGATACGAACGTACATACGTGGCTACATTATTTATAATTATTATTCTTATACATAATTTTTCATAAAAAATGTTGCATTTTAATTTTAGATAGAACCGCCGCTGTGGTCCACAGTTTAAGAACCAGTCTGGTCTACGACGTCTATACATTATCTTCGGCGATGCAAATAACGTTCAGTGCATACCTAAAATATTGCGTTTTTTTTACTTATCGATCAATAATTCGCCTCATCAACAAAATATGTTACTACCTAGTGTATATAGAAGTGTGTGTGAGTTTTTTTTATTTCAATTTTTATTTGCTTATTATAATATGTTAAATGTATATTAAAATATTAGTTTATAGAGTTCCGAATGTTTTAACTAATCGCATTGTGTACACAACAGGAATCATCTTCATAATTCACAGCGTGTGCGGATTCCATCGTCAGACCACTTGTGGATCGATGGACGGGTCAGCGCAGTACCTAATTTTATGTAAACTGCAAAATGTGATGTATTATGGTGTTTTTTCACAACATCGAAAACAATAGTTTTTATTATTATTATTTTAGACTCTTAGCCGGACGATGAATTTATTGATTTTACAATGATGTGTACAATGTACATATATATGGTGCATGACAATATCTTGCACTTATACTTTGACGAGGACAAAACGTTCAATATAATATTTTTTTGAGGTTTGGTATCCAAAAAGTTATTGGTTAATATTCTTCATAGGTCTCACATTACCACGATCATGTTCATCAATCGTTTTTCTGTTGTAATAAATAAAATAGTACCTACTGTTTAATACAAAAAATATAAAAACAACATTTTACTGTATAAAAAATATAATTTTATTACTGGATAATTTATAGATAATATAACAATTTTATTATATAAATATTATAACAATAATTTGAATACAGTAATAAATAATATCAAGTATAAAAATAATATCATTTTTAAACACCGTGGTTTATAATTTTGAAAAAAAATAAACAAAAAACATTAGAGGTGTGAGATAAATGATAATTCAATAATATTATAAATGATATATAATTAACGAGTGCTTTAAAATTTTGAAACATTTATACCGAAAATAATTAATAAGCAATATAAAGAAAAATAGGAAAAATGCTCGCAATGCGACAAAAAAACAGGAGCAATAATATTAACAACAAAAAAAGGTGCTCAAAGTGGCAAAAATACAGGAACAATAATATTAACAATAAAAATGGTGCTCAACGTGGCAAAAAAACAGGAACAATAATAATATTAAAAAAAAATGAAAATGTGCTCAAAGTGGCAGAATAAATTTCAGTAAACAGTGATATTAACACAAATAATTAAAAGGTGCTCAAAGTGGCAAAAAACATGTCGAATAATGATATCAACAAAAATTAAAATGTAAAAAATATAAAAGGTGCTCAAAAGTGTGGCAGAATAAATTACAATCAATTGTAATTGTAAAAAAAAAGACATCAGTCAAGACGAGGCGAAGTGGGGGGGTACGTGATGGCGAGTGGGTGGTGCAGAAGATGGTCACCTCCACAACGTTCTCGCGGCCGGTCCTGCGGGGGGACAAGAGTCGCGGGCGCCTTTCCTCCGAGGAAGCGAGGACGACTCCGGAAGCGGACGGAACCCGACCACGACGGCTGCGAGAGCGGCGATGACGGTCGGCGACGGTTGGCTAGTGATCGATGACGTGCGCCATAGGTGTTGTGCTGCAGGTGCCGAAGACGACTGTGGCGAAGGGCGAAGACGGTCACCAAAGAGGCTCGTCGGAGCGAGCGACGAAGACTAAAATATTATTATCATAACGGTCCCTAGCCACCGTACGATAATAATGATTAAAGTCGTCCGTCACTCGCCGGCCGACGTACGCTCTGCGGTTTCCGTCGACGCCGTCGCGAGTCGTCTTCGCGGTGCAACGCTGCAGCAGTCGTACCGCAAGTGCAGGTACCACCGGTACAGCTAGCCAGCTCGTCGTGTCGTCGTCGTCGTCGCTCCCGGACCGAAGCGGCCGGGGCCCGCCACGCTTCCAGAGGGTCTCCGGACGTCCGCGATCCCGTGTCCCTGCCGCCGGTGGCCGGAGAACGTGTGTCGGTGACCTTCTGCCGATCACCCCGGAAGTGCACTTTCACGTACCTCACATACCTCGATCCCCACATCGCTCCGCCTTGACTGCTGCCCTCGACCGAGGCGTCGACAACGTTTTCAGCAACCCAGGCAAATCACTGCTCGTCCGGCCCGTTTCACTCCTCTCCACGCGGCGGCCGCCAATCGCCTGACCCGCCCGCGTGAAGAGACTGCCGCTTGTGTTGCCGGTGGTTCGTCGATCTCCAAACCATCCTCGGTCGGAGCTTCTTCGTCCAGGACGACCTCAAAGTCTCCACCGGTGGCCATCTTCTCCTCCTCCTCCTTCTCTTCCTCTTCCTCCTCGCACCGCAGTACAGCGTTTCCGTCTCCGGGCTGTACGTGCGGCGCGGCCGACAACTTTTCGGACACTAGGTGCACCATTGCATCCACCAACTGATCCACGATGGCGACCATCCGTCTGTCTCGGCATTCCTCTGAAACGGTATCGGTTTCCAGTGTTCTTTTTTGGTGTCCAAATTCCATTTCCATGATGTCTTTTAGAACCGAGTGGACGGTCGTCTCTATATTACTCGAGTCCGAAACCACTTCCGCTATCAGGTGTTCCATCACCTCCTCCACGACGGTGTCGGCGTTTTCAAATGCGTTTTCCATAATTTATGGAACGTATAGTACAGCGCAGTTGTTTGTTTTTTTTGATTTTTTATGCGTATAAAACGCAAGGCGTATAAAAATTATTAGACAATAAGACAATATAAAAATAAAATCATAAGTTGATCATTGTATATATTATTTATGTGAAAATTACTATAATATTCGAGAGAGATGTTTCGTCGCGAAATATAAACTGATTCAAAATATGTAATCGGTCGTACGCATAAACATCCAAACGAAAATCTCCATGACAACAAAATAATATTATATTGTTCAAAATTGAAAATATATTATACGGCCAATTTATTTCCAAAGACATTACGTATTATGTACATTTCAACATATTATTCATGTTATCACGAATACTTGTATTGTAATGTAATAATTGGAATACCTACCTTTACAATATAGCTTTATATACCTATTAATAAAGCACCTATATTGCACGGTCACAATAATTTGTTTCTTATCTCAAAAAATAATTTTCATCCAAATATTTGAGGATTTAAAATTATGTCATTACTCATTAGTTTACTCTAATACGACCGATTTGGCTAATTTTGGTCTTGAATTATTTGAGGAAGTCCAGAGAAGGTTTATAAGGTGAATAAATATCAAAGTTTTATTATTTTTTACATTTTCATTATTCTATATATCAATTTTTTCCTCTTTTTAATTTGGGATTTTGTTCAAAAGGGACTATTTTAGGAAATAGTACTCTAAGAGATAAAGATAGAAGGAAATAGGAAATTTTGCAGAAAATTATAGACTTTTTATCAAAACATACTTTTTCCAGAAATAGACCGTTTTGAAAAATAAAACATTTTATTGTTAGGAAAAAAAATAGAAATTTTTAATGATATTACAATTTTATATTGAACTTTAAACAAATACATTTTTATTTTATTAACAAAGATTTAAAACTTTTTTATAAGATTAAAATATAATTAAAAATAAAATGTCATCACTTCTCTACAAAAAAAAAATATTTATATAATAAAATTAGGTTAATGCAATATTAACTAACCTTCAATGTTTTTATTATTCAAATAAATACTATACTAACTTGAATATTATTACTTATTATAAATACAATACAAATTTGTTAACATTCATCTTCATCATAATAAGCTGCACCTTCAGGGTTTTCATCATCGAAAACAATATTATTAGTGGTTTCTTGCATCACATCATCATAAAATTGTTTTGCATCTTCAGGTATACAAAAGTATTTTAATAAACTAGCTACATCTTTTTTTTTTGCTGGTTTTACGTGACTTATTTTTGGTAAAACTTCTAAATTGTCTTCAAATAATTTAAGATTAGAGTTCCTCTTTAAAATGTCTACTCGAACAGGTATATCAGTAAAGATAGTGTTATACCAACTGTGTGTAACCCTTTCACATAAGAAAATACTTTTTGTTCTGTAGTTTTAAAACCTAAAACTGATTTTGTCTGTTTTGTTGTTGCATTTTTAAAATTATACATCAAAAAGTCTTTGCCGTAGACATGAACTGAGGTTTCTTCTTTAAAAACATCATAATACTGACTAGGTGACACAATATTTTCTTTTTTCCTAAGCTTTTGTTCTATTCGTCCAAATATCCTATCAGGAGGCATGTAACTATGCCCCCGAACTGGAAATATGTGATAAATGTTATTAAATATAGAAGATTTATAATTTATGTAGTATAATAGTGTAGTTATCATATACTTATTTTTGTTCTGGGCAGAACAAGAATCTGAAAACAAATTTAAAGTTTCAGGATACTGATCTGGGGACATTGATTGCTTTATTTTATCTTCCAAATAGCTTAAAAAAGAAATTAATGCTGAACATATCTCATTAGGTCCCCTGCCGCTTTCAGTTTCCAGCCACGTATAGGTATGACAAGTATTTCTATTTTCCACACCCTCTGAATTTATTACAAATGTTATATTATAAAGCCATACTTGTCTACAGTAAAATACATCAGTTACACTGAGTTTGGGTAAAGGCTGAGTCTGCATCATGTCAAAAGAGACTGAAACTACTTTTTCTTTTTTTTCAGCCATCTTCATAAAAAACAATTTTGATTTTTTTTTGTGAATTTGCAAATCAGTTTTAATTTCTTCTTTCTTTTCTTGTTCAAATTCTTTTTCTATCTTAGTTATCATTTCAGTACAATATGAGCAAACATCTTACTGAGGATGACCAAATGCTAAGTTGAATTTGGATACAAATACATTATAGTATTTGCTAAATGAAGCTATAGGTTTATCGTTTTTTATTCTATCACATTTCCATACTTTGTACATAATATTTACTGATAAACCAGGTTGTAGATAACTTCTATTACTATCTTTTCTTGTATGATGGGACTTTTTTACTTTAAATGCCAGTATGTGATCAATTATTGACTTAGTTATTTCCTCACTTTTTGCAGATACACGAGATCCTCCTCTCTTTTCAATAGGACTTAACTGAGTTGTCTTAAAATTTCTAGCAATAATATTTAAACGTTTTCTTTTTATTGATGTGATGGAAGAAAAAGCATTTAAGCAAACACGGTATTTATCACCTTCTTTAGTTGGTATAAAATAATTAATCAAAATTCTTTCTTTACGATTAGTTTTGCGTCGATCAGTTCTTCTTACTTTTGATACTGACATCATATCTAATAAAAATCTGTCTTGCTTGACTTTTTCAGAAATATCAGATAATTTTTTTTTGAAAATGTTAATATCATCATGTGTTAATCTTGATACTTTGCATACACTTGTAATTTCAGGACTCTCCATATGACTGCAATTATTTAGTTGCCAGTTGTTTTCAATATGGTTGATAGAAATCTTTTTTAACTGCTTCTGGTGTATAATCTTTTTTTTCCTTCCTCCAGCAATACAAGTAATTTCATCAATATATTATTCTGGATCAGGGATTGGTACATTAGTTAAGTTATTGAAACTTATGTCAATTTGCTCAGCTATAATATCATTTGATGAAACATTGAAGTCATTATTTAATCATATGTTATTTGGTGTTTCAATGGAAGTATTTGCTGTTGAAGTACCTGCAAGGACTGGAATTTCAATGACTACAACTGGCGATGTATTAAAAGACTGGTCATTATTTTCTTCTTGATTGTTATAGTTTAGACAAACAAAATCCATATTTTCAATGTCAAGTACATCATCCTACAAAATATAAGATATGCTATATAACTGAATAATAGTAAAATAATAAATTGTTTTCCATTTGAACTTACATAATTATTGTTACTTGTTTGTGCTTCATTAAGTAAAGGGAATTGCCAATGACTAGAATGTTCAGATACCCACTATAAAATATTTTCATATGGTAAATTAGAATATTTTAATTGTATTAGAATAAAAAAGTAATACATAACAAATAAAATATAATTCAAAGGTATTAAATTATATTAAAATAAAATTGTAACTGTTGTATTTTAATAATTAAAATAAATAATAATACGAGTACTGTTATAGCATGCACAATGCACATGGTTGTCATTAATTTAATAAAACACATTTAACTAATAAAGAATAATTTATTATTTATTTTAATTATTAAAATACTACAAATACAATATAATTTATAGGTAGGTGTGATAAAATGAATAATATATTATAATATTAACATATTGTTATTACCTCTGCAGTGGAATTTAGCTGAGTACGATATTGAGTATTATTTTTTTTCTCTATATTTTTCATTGAATAACTGCCGTGGAAAAAATGTTTCACTTTTTTTTACTGAAGATGACGTATTCTAAAACAAAAAGGGGAGAAGATGTTATAAATGTGTAATGTAATATTGTTATAAATATTATTCTGTAAAATAATACTGAAGATAGTAATATTATCATATTTAATGTTGTAGAAAAACATATTAAGTTTTTTGCATCGAAATCAGTATGTTTATTTATTTATACCTACCTAAGATAGATAGGTACATATAATATTGTACTCATGCAATACAAAACAAATTTTAGTTTAAACAGATAGATAGGTAGGTACCTACGTAACAAATTATTTTAAATAGTACTGCTTACCTTGGCGGTTGCAAAAGTGACCAAACGCTGGCTTCTTTTAGACATTTTGAGATGACGCTCGTAAGTAGGTATTTAAAAAAAATATAACTTGTATTTAGGTAGATATATTCATTGGGCAATAAAATATACAAAATTACAACACATAAGTCATTACATTACAATTACAAATATTTAAAATAGTAATCAAACTTTGTTGGTTATATTATATTATTAACGATTACCAAATAGAGTAATATATTATGGGAAAACACAATAATAGTTATTGCATGACTGCTCGGCGCTCACGTGATCCAAATTTAAACATCTATATCTAACGATGTTTATCAGATAGGCACACGAAAACAACTTTTAGATACGACAACACTTCCCCTGAAATAGAAAACAATTTGTCCCACCACTTGGTTGATAACAGTATTTTGTGAATTAATAAAATAAAAACTTTTATTAAAATGTTTAATTATATCATTAACTTATTTGAAATGGTGCGTTTTGGAAAAATGCTATATTTATCGCCTATACCAATTACATGGGAAAAAGTACCTTTTGAAATAACTGATAAAGACATCGTAAACCATTAACACAGGAAATAGTACATTTTGAAACTGATTGCAATAGTACGTTTTGACAAAAATAATTTATGGAAATAGATCGTTATGAATAAAATGGGCATTTTCCAACACATTTTTCGCATACAAATAGTCCGTTTTGGACAAAAATAATGATACCATTGGATTGGCCGCTATTTTTACCATAAGAATCAATGTAAAAGTCGATTTTGTTAAAAATGGAATTAGTGCGTTTTGGAAAAGAACCCCTCAGTTACTAGTAATGTTTTTACCGTTGTTCCATAAAACTATCTTATACGGTATGGTGAAGTTTGTGGTTTTGAGCATATTTTTTATTTGTTTTAGGTAATAAGTCGTTCAAAATTCAAATTTAACATGTTATTAATCTTACATTTTCTTAAATTAGTTTATTTATTTATTTATCATGAACTTACCAAAATGTGAATGGCTTACATACTCCTGAATACCTAAATATAAACATTTATCACAATTAATATAATAATATGTAATGATAATTAGTTCATACTATTATCATAGTTATTCGATAATTATTGTTCCATTGAGTATATGATATACTCAATGATAGTAGGTATTCGATAAGAACATAGAAATAAGAGGTCATACCAAATTCTAGTGTGATAACTCAATGTGTAACAAACTTGGTACATATTATCTATCTGATAATGATATATGTATGTATATATATATATCTGGCATTTAAAATTTTTCTAGATGAAAAATAACAGTTAGAAGGAAGGTAAAAATGAAGTCTAGAGCATTCATCGACTGAAGAGAAGACTTTTGAAAGGGATTTGAAAACAGAGACGAAGTAGTCAGAAAAAAATACAACTGATTCTTACTCGCCAGCAGAAGTAGAACCAAGGCAATTAAATAAGGGTGGATAGAAGAGCATTCCTTAAGATCGCATATATATTTCTCTCTTTTCAGCACAAGCTTGTTTTTAAAAAGAGAACCAATGCTTTAAATATTCTTTGTATTTTTATTTATTTATCTTATAATTGTAATTGGTGCCAAATAAATACTATTATTGTTATTATTATTTCCAAATGTCATTGGGCGGGCTGGAAAGTGCTTTTTGGTTCTTGCAATATACGTTTTATAATTCAACTTAAGTAAGTGTTTGTATTTGGCTCTGAATTCAGACAAAATATTGTAGTCTGTTTGTAGCAAATATTTCTTTAATTGAGGGTGGGCTCGTTTTTTGGAGATAATAAAATATTTAAAGGGTTTAGAATTTAGACACCCGAGGGGGAAATTCACCATAGATTGAACAGAGTGGAACAAATGTATCAATATAAGACAATATTACTACAGCATCCTCAACGGAATTCCTTGAAAAACTCTCAACCCAATTGAAAGAAGAAAAAAAAGAAGAGATAGTAATCAGCCTTATTGAAGTTCCGATAAAAAGAGCTCTATCTAGGTTTAGGAAAGGATAAAATGTTTTGGGAAAAACTTTCCTCGGTAAGGAAGGATGATATGCTTCTTCTTTTACTTGGGGGAAAGTAGCCTGGTTTATAGAAAGGTTCTTGTTTTTGGTGTAGATTAGGCGAAGTAAACCTCCAAGTCTGTTGTACTCAGAATTGCGCCGAAATAAGTTTAGGAAGGAGAATGAGTCAGCAAGAACAATAGCAGATGGACCTAGGGCGCCTAAAGCTGTGAGTCCCAAATTATCATGAGACCAGAAAGCATTGGTAATATTATAGTCACCACAGATAATCAACAGGTCTAACCACCGGGTCAATAGAGTGATCCTGAAATAATTGCTATATGGTTTTAGTGTGTGTTTCACACAGATGTGGTGGACTATTCGGGGAAGGTTAATGAACCAAAAATTAGTTTTAAAAGTGACTGATACGAAAATGTTCTCTAAATTATGAGATCTAGTTGAAATAACTGAAGCTTGTAAATACGATTCAATAGCAAAGAGTACACTACCATCACGTGAGCATAAACTGGTAAGGATGTTTCTATTGAGTCTAAAAACTTGGTATTGTTAACTTCTCCAGGGGAAATAACGTCAAAAATCTAGCTGAGGGCCGGGAATCCAACCTGGGTCTCTGGCTTAGCGGGTGATTACTTTACCACTGAGCTACCGGGCCACATAGACCCATTACGCTATCTCCCCCAGTTAACGGGATCTTATATTCAACCATCCTGGCGTACATGAACGCCTTCGATCGTCGACGATCCTTACTGTAGCAGTGTATTCCACTACGACTGTTGTTTCACTAACTCACCACCAGAGCTCACCAACCGTAAGCCCAATGCGATCGTCTCTGTACGACCTCTGGTGGATCAAGTCCAGGTCCCTCATAATACGTCACCACTGCGTCCTTCGGTCTCAAATCTCACTTCTTACTTATATTAACTTCACTAGGGGAAATAACTTCAAAAATCTAGCCACCGGACGGGGAAATCAAACCCAGGACTCTAGCTTGCCGGGCGATTGCTCTAACATTGAGCTATCCGACCACATAGACCCATGACACTATCTTCCCCAGTTGGCGGGAGTTTAAAGTAGCTTGCGCATACCAAGTTCAGAATCAAAAATATCCAGATTATGCAAGGTTTGTACCAAGATAATGATTTCGTAAGACCTGGAAATAGGTAGGTTAGCTTAAGTTTTGGTCAACCTTGAATAGAATGAAAACTGAGAAAGGCAGAAGTAAAAATTTACTACATAAATGGGGAATTTAACAATCCCCTCTTTGCTCTTGTGGTATGGAACAAAGTATTAAGCATATTGTGGAAGAATGTCCAACTACTAAATTTGAAGGAGGAATAGCAAAATTACATAAAGCTAAAACAGAGGCAATTAATTGGTTAAACAATCTAGAAATACTACACTAATAAGCAACAAAGTTCCTGGCCCAGTTACCTTTAAATTTAGAATAAATTTAGGATAGTTTTGTCAAATCTTAAAAGTTGTTATGTTATTGTAATTTTAAGTTTAAATTTATCTAATACCTATTTATTGTTATAATTTCTTACTCATTTATCATAGTAAAGTCTCATTTTCTAACTTATTGTATTTAACTAACATTTTATATTTTATAACTAAGCCGATATGTCATATGCAAAATAAATAAAAATAAAGGCTTGGACGTACCCAGTAAACATAGCACGTATAATATACGTGTATAATAAGGACAACTTTGGTGTATGTATATACGTAGAAATAATTCGTATAATAACGGTATAATATACGTTGAAATACGCATATTTTACGTTGACGATACGTATATACATATTCGTACATTTTTCGTGATAAAATTACGTTTATTCTACGTTTATCGTACGGTTATTATTGGTTGGTCGAACTTACGTCGAAATGTATTTAAGTATTAACGTATATTTTACGTTGAAGATATGTATATACATATTCGTACATTTTTCGTGATAAAATTACGTTTATTCTACGTTTATCGTACGGTTATTATTGGTTGGTCGAACTTACGTCGAAATGTATTTAAGTATTAACGTATATTTTACGTTGACGATACGTATATACATATTCGTACATTTTTCGTGATAAAATTATGTTTATTCTACGTTGATCTTGCGGTTATTATTGATTGGTCGAACTTACGTCGAAATGTATTTAAGTATTAACGTATATTTTACGTTGAAGATATGTATATACATATTCGTACATTTTTCGTGATAAAATTACGTTTATTCTACGTTGATCGTACGGTTATTATTGATTGGTTGAACTTACGTCGAAATGTATTTAAGTATTAACGTATATTTTACGTTGAAGATATGTATATACATATTCGTACATTTTTCGTGATAAAATTACGTTTATTCTACGTTGATCGTACAGTTATTATTGATTGGTTGAACTTACGTCGAAATGTATTTAAGTATTAACGTATATTTTACGTTGAAGATATGTATATACATATTCGTACATTTTTCGTGATAAAATTACGTTTATTCTACGTTGATCGTACGGTTATTATTGGTTGGTCGAACTTACGTCGAAATGTAGGTAAGTATTAACGTATATTTTACGTTGACGATACGTATATAGGTACATAGATTTTTTTGTATAAAATGTTTGTAGGTAATTTTGTTGATAAAATATTGACTGTTATGTAAACTTAAATCTTCGCTCTAAATTCTAATTATGTTAAAATTATTGGGACATTGGGTCGAACATACGTTGATGTTTAGCATTTATAAAATATGTAATTTCGTAGTGAGTAAAGTCGGGGCTAGATAAAGGGGGGCTATAGCCCCGGGCCGCATGTTGCAGAAAGGGGCCACAATGTGTCAACTCAATTTTTATATTTACATAAAAATGGCATCATCAAATAAATGAAACATTATTTTGAATTTCAAATTTATATCATATGAAAATATACTTAAATTCTTTATTCCCGTAACACTATTATAGTGGTCCTCGCTAAATAAATATCATTGTATAATCTATGAATCAAGATTGAC